TGGGCTTGGGAGTGGGTGGGTGTGGGTAGGTAGGGGTGTAGTGGGTTGGAGGTGTAGAGGTGGTAGTAGGTAGAGGTGGGAGTGAGTGGGTGTTTATATTTTAGAAAAAAATTGGAATTAGAAAAATGTGAAAAACAATGATTACTGGTTTTCCAAAAATTTCCAACTTCTTTATAATTTTAGAAAACGGAAAATTTTCATTTTCCGTGAAAAATTTAGAAAAATAGACGAACTAAACGCGTTTTCAAAATTCTCATTTTTCTTGGAAATTTTTTCCGGAAAACGGTCCATTTTTCCGCAACTAAACGCACCCTTAATCTCAAACATTCTCACTTCATTCATTCCTCTCATGAATAGCGATCATATAATTGCATATTCTTATCATTATTTTCTTATCATACATATATTGTTATGATGCAATAATCACATGTATTGCAATCATATGAGTGTAAACCTTTATCCTTTTCTCTTATCACCCATGTATTGTGACGGTGCAAATGATTTACATTGTATCTATAGGATGAAGAGTGTCCATGTGGGAGAATTTGTAAAAACGAGAGAGAATTGAAGTGGTGTGCAAACATAATAACTCTATTTATAAAACCATCATGACCTGCATTATATTATAATCATCATCATCATTTGTAGTCATCATGATCATCATCTTACCTGCCATCTCGTGATTTTCAATCTTCTCTATCCATTCTATTACTTTAATGGCAAAAAGCTCCAACTCTTGGATTGAAAGTTGATACATAAAAAGAGAATGGTTGCTTTAATTTTACAAAGAATATGCTAACTTTGATTTCATTTGTTGGCCTCCAAAACAGTGTTATATATTCCAATGACCGATCTTGCTGCTTGTGCGAATAAAGTCATTCAACAGTGGCCGACATCGGGTGTCAAGAGACGTTGGTGACCTATTTACATCTTAAGGAAGAAGAAGAAGAAGAAGAAGATACCAAAGCTAGTGGGAAAAATCATGATGAAGTTTGCATATCAAATATCTTTTCTTGTTTGTTTAATGGTCCCAAGCCTACCTCTATTCAACTTTGCCATTTCTTTTTCCATTGAATAGTACAATCCCTACCTCTCTCTTCTTACTTTCATGCGCATATTATATTACCCTTTTGACTACACCCATTCATCTCTAATAGTCATGTTCAGATTCTGATTCTATATCCTTATTTTACGTGTCGGTCATGGTGTTCTACGGAAAACCACAAACACATGACAAAGAATGTGCTTTTGCTATACCCTTTTTCCCTTTTTTCCTCTTTAATCATCATCCCTCTCATATCTCAACGTTACATGCAAGAATCACCTTGAATCTTTCTGGTTATATTGTGTCATCAGCCATACATAAACTTGTATTTAGTGGTGAAGAAAAAGCTGAGGACTTCATAAGTACTTATCAGCAAGTGTTCCTGCTGCGTCAGTACCATTATTGTTTATTTGAGCTTCTTTGGATGTTGATGGGTAAACTACTTTGCAGCTTTATGGATCATGCTTGATTGCTACCAACCAACCAACATCCTTTAATATTTTCAGGTGAAGGGTATATTCAGTGTTATTATTATTATTATTATTATTTTGAAAGTTGAAACATAGTAGCTATCAAATTAAGTATCAAAGTTGACTTTCTAATTATCGCTAATTGCTATTGCGCATAGGAACTAACCAAAATCCATGCACAATCATGAATTACTTTTCATGTATTTATATGAAAGTTGAGAGTGTGAGAATCTAAAGAAGCTCCATTTATATAAGCCAACAGCACAAGGACAAATAAGAAAAGAACAGTAGAGCGAGCCTTCATGGGATCAGTTGAGTGCTTTCTTTATGAATCTGAAAAGTTGTATAACCATTTACAGTTACTTTGTGTTATACAAGAAAGACGGGAAGCAATCTGGGAATCAAAATTGATAAAGTTAGTTTTCATGTTGAGGGAGTTAATGTGAAGAGTGAATGTGGGGTTCATTTCCAAATGTGGAAAACCCACTTGCTACTTTGCCATTAGATTTGCACTGTGGTTTCTTCTTCACATCAGCTGTCATTTTTAAGCATGCAAACACCACTACATAAAGGAATCTTCTTGTTCTCTAGCAATATGTGCTAAGGGCTGTTCCCACCCCCCCTACACACACTAAGCCACTAACATCTCCTCCTTTTATCATATTTCTTTCTTGAATTGGCAGTGAACCTTCTGCATTTACGCAAGTTGGTTAAAAAAAATCATCCAAAGTCCAAACTATACTAATTAATTTACTAGGTGAAAATGCACATTGTCTTCTCAAATGTATATGATTAAATGCTATATAATCTTCTAGCTCATCCATGGGTAAAAACATATATCTAAATGACTAAATCAAATGGTCAGATGTTTGGCATTATTAAACGATGCTTGCTTAACAAAAACAAATACATATATAAGAAATTAAAAAGTACTCCTACATCATTTATTCCAAAGGTACGTTTTACCAATTTTGCATGACCACCTGATCCTTTGATGATCATTTGCTAGGTCCACATGATTGTTGAAGGGTATTATACATGTGGACCTAGTTTCCTCTCGGGTCAACAAACAGAGTTGACTCAGACAGGGTTTATCTTTATCCTCGTCATCCGCCATTGATGCTTTACCAAATTTAATTTTGTAACTCCCGACATATATGATAACACAAAAGATTCTGAAATCTTTACGATTTATGTAATCATATATATAGCCTTCAAACTATTACCAATCTTGTACATATAACCTCCGTAGCCATTATGTATATTTGTAAAACCGTTTACAATTTTGTACTATATATAGAGGTGTTATCTGACTTAGAAAAATACACCACCATTCGCATCTTGTTTAACTTTTTTGCTATCAGTTTCTAAAACACAAGGTAATATATAGTTCTGATTTAATCGGGGTCGTGTTTGAATTAGTCTCGACTCATTTTCTTTTGGTTTTGTTACTTATGTATTTTCATCATTTTTGTATTCATGGTTTTTGGGATATGTTTTGATTTTCTGCAGCATATATACTGCCTACAAAGTACAGGAACATTGGGTACCACCAATTCATGGCATTTCCATTCACTTACTTTTATATAACCTATTAGAATATAAAAGCATTCTTCATGCATCATCATCATCATCATCATCATCTAATTTAATACCTTCTTTTTTTGAGAGATTTTTTCCACTAAACTAACTGGTAGGGCTCTTATTGTAGGCAAACATTGGCAACATTATGGGACTCCTTGCTGGCCAAGATAGTGACTTTGGCAAGGTATTGGTGTTTCCTATTTCCATCTGAACCTAATAGTGAGTTCCTTTCTAGGCTCCATGTTGCTCCCCATTTATGTTTTCTCCTCTAAATCTCATGGTTTCTTTTTCTTTAATCATGAAGCAGATGATATCTGGATCTACGTAGTTAAATCAGACTCATACAGAAAATGAAGTTCATGAGACTTGGAAAAATGCCAGACACATTCTATACAGGCGAAGCCACAAGGTTTTGTATCACAAAATTTCACATTTCACAAGTTATATATCACAGGCGAAGCCACAAGGTTTTGTATTACTCTAAGTGACCAATGCTTGATAAATTGCAGGACCATGGTTTCTGACTTACAAAGTGATCTCACCATACGCATCAACAACATCACTTATCTTCTCCATAAGGCAAGTAGACCATTGTATACATATGCATACATATACATATACATATATATCTGTAATTACATAGACCATTGTACATGTTATAAGTATAACTATACAAGTTGCAGTTTCCACTTCTTCAAAAGTGTGGCCTCCTGCAACAACTTTGCTCAGGGAAAGGAGACACTACTCTGGAGCTTCATGACATTCCTGGTGGTGAAATATCTTTTGAGCTGTGTGCAAAGTTTTGTTATGGGATCAAGATTGACCTCAGTGCCCATAACTTTGTAGCAGCATTATGTGCAGCAAAATTCTTGCAGATGACAGAATCTGTTGTGAAGGGAAACTTTGTCTCGAAGCTTGAGCTTTTCTTTACTTCATGCATTCTTCAAGGCTGGAAGGATTCTGTTGTCACATTGCAGACTACAGAAAAGTTTCATGAATGGTCTGAGAATTTTGAAATTATCAGAAGGTGCATCGATTCTGTAGTTGATAAAATACTCACACCCACAACAAAGGTAATTTAAGAAACTCGAGTGGTTAATAAAAGTGAAACTTTGAAATAAAAGGAACTGAAGAGCCCTAATTTGCAGGTAAGATGGTCCTACACTTATACTAGACCAGAATATGCAGAAAAGAAGCACAAATCTGCACCCAAAGATTGGTGGACAGAAGACATAGCAGAGCTTAATATAGACCTATTCAGATGTGTCATTAATACTGTAAGGTCAACAGACATGATTCCACCAAAGCTTATAGGTGAAGCTTTGCATGTTTATGCATGTCATTGGCTTCCAGATGTTACAAGGGGTAGATCTGATCAACCTGAAACATCAACATCTTCTCAAATCACCCAAGAAGAATCTTTCAACAGAAAGAAACAACTTGAGATGATTGTAAGCCTAATTCCAGAAGATAGAGGATCAGTTTCAGTTCGATTCCTACTGAGACTCCTTAGAATGGTGAATCTTTTAGGGGCATCTTCTGCCATACATAAACAACTCATTAGGAAATGTAGCTTGCAGTTAGAGGAGGCAATGCCAAATGATTTGCTATTATTATTGCCTTCACATGATCATGACTCTTCTGGTGATCATCATCAAACTTATGATATTGATCTGGTAATGGCTGTCTTGGAGGGTTTTATCACACAATGGAGAAAATCATATTCTAGAGATGAAGAACAATCAATGATTTTGATTTCAAAAATTGCAAAACTCATAGACTCTTATCTCCAAGTTGTCTCCAGAGATGCAAACATGTCAGTAGAGAAAGTAGTGTCTCTTGCCAATATTTTACCTGAATTTGCTCGACCTGAACATGATGATCTTTACAAGGCAATCGACATTTATCTAAAGGTATATATGTAGTATAAGAAGAAAAAACGTATTTTAAAACCTTTGGCTAGATACATAAATATGTTTTTATATATATAAAACTGGATGTAAATCATGATGACGAGCAGGAACATCCCCAAATGAGCAAGGAAGAGAAGAAGCGCCTGTGTAGCATTTTGGATTGCCATAAGTTGTCTGCAGAAGCACGAGCCCATGCAGTAAAAAACGAGAGGCTTCCATTGAGAACTGTTGTGCAAGTTCTTTTCTTTGAACAGGAGAAACATGGTGGAAAGGCAACAACAAGCCATGAAAGTCGAAAACATGATATAATACAACCTCAGGGCATAAAAATAACATATTATACAGGAGATCATCTGAGAAATTTACAAGCGCGCTCAGGTGATAAGTCTAATAAAGCAGAGGATGATAGACGACGAAGTGCTCTTAGCAGTAAAAGCCAAAAGCTTGAACGAGAATCAGAACAGAAGTCGAGGGGAAAAAATGTTCACGAGATCATGGAGGAAGGAATTAGTAAACAAAATCTTACAAAAGTAAAGATACAAAGAACTAAATCAGAGCATGGTCGTCGTAAAGGCAAGTAGAAAATGGACATTTGTGTTGTTTATCAATTCATTACT